GTTTGAAACAGCCGTGCCAGAGGTGGGGTTCGAACCACGGATCTTACGTTTCTGAGACAAGTGCGCTACCACTGCGCCACGGCTGCTCAAGTATTAGTTAGCCTGTGATTTTAACTCTATCTTAAAAAAAAATTTCACCTAGCCATCCTGTTTTGGACATTGCTCCAGGAAAAGCAATAACACCAGCACCACTAACCTCGCCAACAATAAATATTCCAGCAGTATACACACCGATACCATGCGCATTCATTTTATTGTTGTTCTCATCGGAAGGTGGTAAATTATCTTTGTTAAGTTCTTCAAGTTCATAAGCATCTGTTATTTTCTTACAAACACCTGTATCGTCTGTGTCATTTTTTGAATAATCTAAAAATAAATTTAAATATTTAACTGCTTTTAGATTTGCTATTTTTTAAATTAAAATGTTTTTAAATTAAAATGTAGACCCTTTTTATTAAAAATTAAAATGTAGACCCTTTTTATTAAAAATTAAAATGTAGACCCTTTTTATTAAAAATTAAAATGTAGACCCTTTTTATTAAAAATTAAAATGTAGACCCTTTTTATTAAAAATTAAAATGTAGACCCTTTTTATTAAAAATTAAAATGTAGACCCTTTTTATTAAAAATTAAAATGTAGACCCTTTTTATTAAAAATTAAAATGTAGACCCTTTTTATTAAAAATTAAAATGTAGACCCTTTTTATTAAAAATTAAAATGTAGACCCTTTTTATTAAAAATTAAAATGTAGACCCTTTTTATTAAAAATTAAAATGTAGACCCTTTTTATTAAAAATTAAAATGTAGACCCTTTTTATTAAAAATTAAAATGTAGACCCTTTTTATTAAAAATTAAAATGTAGACCCTTTTTATTAAAAATTAAAATGTAGACCCTTTTTATTAAAAATTAAAATGTAGACCCTTTTTATTAAAAATTAAAATGTAGACCCTTTTTATTAAAAATTAAAATGTAGACCCTTTTTATTAAAAATTAAAATGTAGACCCTTTTTATTAAAAATTAAAATGTAGACCCTTTTTATTAAAAATTAAAATGTAGACCCTTTTTATTAAAAATTAAAATGTAGACCCTTTTTATTAAAAATTAAAATGTAGACCCTTTTTATTAAAAATTAAAATGTAGACCCTTTTTATTAAAAATTAAAATGTAGACCCTTTTTATTAAAAATTAAAATGTAGACCCTTTTTATTAAAAATTAAAATGTAGACCCTTTTTATTAAAAATTAAAATGTAGACCCTTTTTATTAAAAATTAAAATGTAGACCCTTTTTATTAAAAATTAAAATGTAGACCCTTTTTATTAAAAATTAAAATGTAGACCCTTTTTATTAAAAATTAAAATGTAGACCCTTTTTATTAAAAATTAAAATGTAGACCCTTTTTATTAAAAATTAAAATGTAGACCCTTTTTATTAAAAATTAAAATGTAGACCCTTTTTATTAAAAATTAAAATGTAGACCCTTTTTATTAAAAATTAAAATGTAGACCCTTTTTATTAAAAATTAAAATGTAGACCCTTTTTATTAAAAATTAAAATGTAGACCCTTTTTATTAAAAATTAAAATGTAGACCCTTTTTATTAAAAATTAAAATGTAGACCCTTTTTATTAAAAATTAAAATGTAGACCCTTTTTATTAAAAATTAAAATGTAGACCCTTTTTATTAAAAATTAAAATGTAGACCCTTTTTATTAAAAATTAAAATGTAGACCCTTTTTATTAAAAATTAAAATGTAGACCCTTTTTATTAAAAATTAAAATGTAGACCCTTTTTATTAAAAATTAAAATGTAGACCCTTTTTATTAAAAATTAAAATGTAGACCCTTTTTATTAAAAATTAAAATGTAGACCCTTTTTATTAAAAATTAAAATGTAGACCCTTTTTATTAAAAATTAAAATGTAGACCCTTTTTATTAAAAATTAAAATGTAGACCCTTTTTATTAAAAATTAAAATGTAGACCCTTTTTATTAAAAATTAAAATGTAGACCCTTTTTATTAAAAATTAAAATGTAGACCCTTTTTATTAAAAATTAAAATGTAGACCCTTTTTATTAAAAATTAAAATGTAGACCCTTTTTATTAAAAATTAAAATGTAGACCCTTTTTATTAAAAATTAAAATGTAGACCCTTTTTATTAAAAATTAAAATGTAGACCCTTTTTATTAAAAATTAAAATGTAGACCCTTTTTATTAAAAATTAAAATGTAGACCCTTTTTATTAAAAATTAAAATGTAGACCCTTTTTATTAAAAATTAAAATGTAGACCCTTTTTATTAAAAATTAAAATGTAGACCCTTTTTATTAAAAATTAAAATGTAGACCCTTTTTATTAAAAATTAAAATGTAGACCCTTTTTATTAAAAATTAAAATGTAGACCCTTTTTATTAAAAATTAAAATGTAGACCCTTTTTATTAAAAATTAAAATGTAGACCCTTTTTATTAAAAATTAAAATGTAGACCCTTTTTATTAAAAATTAAAATGTAGACCCTTTTTATTAAAAATTAAAATGTAGACCCTTTTTATTAAAAATTAAAATGTAGACCCTTTTTATTAAAAATTAAAATGTAGACCCTTTTTATTAAAAATTAAAATGTAGACCCTTTTTATTAAAAATTAAAATGTAGACCCTTTTTATTAAAAATTAAAATGTAGACCCTTTTTATTAAAAATTAAAATGTAGACCCTTTTTATTAAAAATTAAAATGTAGACCCTTTTTATTAAAAATTAAAATGTAGACCCTTTTTATTAAAAATTAAAATGTAGACCCTTTTTATTAAAAATTAAAATGTAGACCCTTTTTATTAAAAATTAAAATGTAGACCCTTTTTATTAAAAATTAAAATGTAGACCCTTTTTATTAAAAATTAAAATGTAGACCCTTTTTATTAAAAATTAAAATGTAGACCCTTTTTATTAAAAATTAAAATGTAGACCCTTTTTATTAAAAATTAAAATGTAGACCCTTTTTATTAAAAATTAAAATGTAGACCCTTTTTATTAAAAATTAAAATGTAGACCCTTTTTATTAAAAATTAAAATGTAGACCCTTTTTATTAAAAAAGGCAGAGAAACAAGCTGAGCGCATTCCTTTAAAATAGTTCTACAACATTTTTACTAAATAAACAAAATAATTCAATTTATAACTTGTTTTTATTATCATAAAAATACTTCATAAAAAAATAAAAGAGCTATGTAACCTCTGACCTGAGCTGATACTAAACTAAATCAAGAATAAAATTAGTAAAAAAAACTCATAACTTTACATTTGATTTATTTAAACTTTTTTCTTTGGATTTTTACCTCCAAAAGTCATAAAATTCAACTAGTCAGCTTTTAAAAACTTAGCTAGTCTAGTTAGACTCTAGAAAAACAGCCAGTTACCTTTAAAACAAGTCCAACAAAAAATAATCTAAAAAAAAGAAAAACTGTTCTGTAGAAACTCTGTACATAACTACTACATTTCTATCATAATACAATTCTACTACAATACATTTCTACAACAATACATTTCCATGAGCGGGTAGGCTGTGGGTGGAGTGTGGTAGGAGGAGTTGATAAGTTAAAAAAACATTTATGGCTTTAACTTTATGGTGTTAAACTTTATAATTGTAAGTCATGTAACATCATAACAGAACTAGAAAGACAGCAGAATTAAAGAGACAGTGTTTACAATCATGAATTAACTTAAGTCATGAAATTTTTTAATAAGCTGTCAGTACCTTATAGATACTATATTAATATAGAATGAAAGAAAGACCATTCCAGATATCTACAATTAATTATAAAATAAATTTACAAATTGAATCAAAAATTAAAACTGAAGTAAGCTGAAGAGCCTGCAGTTTTTAAATGGGTCTGGCTCCCTTTGAAAACTAATGTCTCTGGCTCCCTTTGAAAACAAATGTCTCTGGCTCCCATAGCTTTAACTGGATAATTCTACTAAAGTACCACTTCCATATTTTTAAATCTAATATAAAATTAATGTCATGTTTCTTCATAACTAATTAGTGTTTTAAATTTATAGCATAAGATCTTGAGTTGTTTTTAAATAATTTCTAATTTTAATATAAAAAATTACTGAGTGCAAGAGCGTAGAAATGCTCTCCTAAAATGATAATGATGAGCCATGCTTTTGGTTTTTTACAGACTATCTGTTTATTCATAAACTGCTGATTAAATAAAAAATTAGATTTTATAGTCTTTACAAGCATATGCTTGTAAAGACTATAAATATTAAGTATATATTCTTTTAACATTAACAATTTAAGTATATGCTTAAATTGTTAATGTTACAAGAATATATACTTAATAAGCGTTGTTTATCACGCAATTTTAACTTAGGAAATATTCCATTTATGAAAAAATTCTGAAATACAAATGTTTTTTTTGGTTTTCACTCTATCAATTTATTAACAACTTGATTTATTTGATAGAAACTTTGAAAAACAAAGAGGTATATAAAATATTTCATATTTTCTTTCCGTAATAAAATGCAGGTAGTTTGAAAATTATTACAATAATTAAAAATTAATAAAAGTGTTTATAAAACTACAAATTTTTTTTTAATGAAACATTTAATTGTGACAAGCAAAACATTTACTTGAGACAAATTTATGAAATTTATTTATAATTAATATATAAAATATATTATTACAAATATAAAAAATATAACCAAAAAAAAAAAAAATAATAGTAATAAAATTCAAAAATGTTTTACTTTTTAAAAATGTTTAGTATTTTAAACTGAATTTTAAATAATAGATTTAAAATAATTGACTATAAAATAGATTTATGACAGAATATTATCAATTTATTTTTTCATGACATTTTTAAAAAAACTGATTTTTTATATTAGAAACCAATCAGTTGGTATAATCTAATTTTTGCCTTTTAAAAATATTTTTTAATGTTTTAAATGACTTTTGCATTTTTCATCTTAGTTACAACAATAATGCTTTTCTTTTAAAAACAACTTTGCACTTGATCATATTGCTGTTATTATTATAGTGATATTACACAGTATTTTACACAAGGATTTTAAGAGAGAAAAATCTTTCTGCATTTTATATTTGCCTTTTATAATACTGAAATTCTGCTTCACTAAAAACAAAATAATTATTGAATAATAAAACATTATATTATAAAATTGACATTTGTTAGCCATTTGTATAGTTGAAATATTATCTCAAGCACTACAAGTAGTATTTGCAGGGAGTAGCATTATGACTTTTTGAGGCCTAGAATTTTCTTATGGAACCTTATGCAACTTTCTAGAACTTTATGGAACTTTCTAGACTGTTCTGGATGTTTTTAGAAATCTCTGAAACTTTCAA